ACCTCGGGAGGTAAGCCGATAGTCTTTGTCGGACGGAGGATGTAATTGGTCTAGGAACAAAGAGTTGTAAGGGCTCTTACGATTTTGCTCGGATCAATCCCGTCGCGGGGGAGGACAAGTCTAGGAAGAGGAGGCCGAGAACGACTTTAAAGGAGCGGATACCGGGGCCGAAGTCTTTTGAGGACCCCTTGTTTAGACTACCTTGGGTAAATAAAAAGCAAACAGAGTACGCAATGCCATGGAGTAATCCTTGCCTTGATTTTTTATTTTTATTTTCTAAATTCTGTAAGACGACAATGCTGTCGTCTGTCTGGCTGCTGTGTCCCCGCCTCTAAAGGTGGCTGGGCTTTGGTTCTTTTGGGGGGCTTTTCTGGAGCACACTAGGGAATTGAGCGTGGAGGGACGGACAGACAGTCGAGTTCGCGTTTGGAAGTCAAGCAAGCAAAAGCCTGAGGGGAGACAAGGAGTAAACTCGGCATTCAAGTCCGAGTCAGGAGAGTGCCGTGTCTCTTACCGGTGTCCTGGCGTCGGAGAGTGGAGAGCTCCGAGTCCAAATGAGACTGTTGAGAGCACCTTAGCAATTACGAATACAATTGACAGGATGGCATGAGCCTGGGAGCCATGAGGAGCTCCCTCCTGAGTTCGGGGGATGACACCGGACGACATCGGCGCTTTCCCAAGTTTGGGAGAGACCTGCTGAGCCACGAGATGGTGGAACATCCCACAGGAGACTGTGGCTTGACCTCCATCATCAGCCCCACTTGACCGTTGCAACTGAGGCTGGGAAAGCGGTCGCAGCGGCGGTGCATCATGAGCTACATACACCGAGCCGACACAGCGAAGCTACCCTATCAAGGACAACCACGCCGAATCACGAAACGACCATTTCGATACCTCGCCGCCGGAGCCACATAGACCATCGTCGCATCGTTTCAGCGATCCACTGACACACTCAACCGGAATCGCCCCGGCTCGCGGACCTTGAATCGGCCGCGCAACTCTAAGTCTCAGCAGGCAGCTCCCGAATCCCCGGCGCTCCCATCACCACCTTCACCTCCCCGTCAACATGGCGTTCTTAATTCTAGTCATTGGCGATCTCCACATCCCAGATCGCGCCCTCGACATTCCCCCAAAGGTACACCTCCTCCCCGCTCAATTCCACGCTCCGGCCACCCTTCTCCCGTAATAGCTTCAGTAAGCTAATACATACCCCCCAAACAAATAGTTCAAGAAACTCCTCGCCCCAGGAAAGATCGGCCAGACCCTCTGCCTAGGCAACCTGACAGACAAGCACACGTACGAGTACCTCCGCACCATCGCCCCGGACCTCAAGATCGTCAAAGGCCGCTTCGACGTCGAGGCCACCAGCCTGCCCCTCACCCAGGTCGTCACCCACGGCTCCCTGCGCATCGGCTTCCTCGAGGGCTTCACACTCGTCTCCAACGAGCCCGACCTCCTCCTCGCCGAGGCCAACAAGCTCGACGTCGACGTCCTCTGCTGGGGCGGCACCCACAAGTTCGACGCCTTTGAGTACATGGACAAGTTCTTCGTCAATCCCGGCAGCGCCACAGGCGCCTTCACTGCGGGCTGGGGCAAGGACGGGGAGGAGCCCGTCCCGAGCTTCTGTTTGATGGACGTGAGTATATCCATCCATTGACTGCCCACTAGTTGGCGAGGACTACGTCCAGTAGGGGCGAGACAATGTTGTACTAGTTTTGCTGACCATTATTTCAGGTGCAAGGGATTTCTCTCACTTTATACGTGTACCAACTACGGAAAGACGACAAAGGCAACGAGAATGTTGCTGTAGAAAAGGTGACATACACGAAGCCCGTGGAGCCATCGGCGGCAGCATGAGTCAAGGGCGCAATGAACGAGACAGGAGGGCGTTTAATCAAGGACGTGGACATTTGCAAGAAAAAAGTGGAAGATCCAGCCATCATCGACTGGTTGTCATGATTCAAGACACCACACAGGAACGTAGGCAAATGATGATCATGATAATAATATAAGTTTCAGACAGCCATTCTCTAGGGCGTCAAAGCTCGCAATGCTCCCAAACATGCACAATAAACCTAATCGCGTCTCCCGTGGTATCCAGACAGCAGTGGCCGGTCTAAAGGCCTACTCAGAAACATGGACAAAACAAATAGAATGGTATTTGACAACGTATCCAACTCCAAAAACACCGGTGCTAGCCGTCAGTCTCATCATGTGGTGGTCATTACAACATCATGCTCCTTCTCCGCATCGAGACTTTGGAATTTGTTTCCTGAAAGTCGCTGTTCTCCACACTCTCGAAGCTGCTATCCTCGATACTTTCTGCTTCTGCGCGATTTCTTTTGGGCAAGACCATCGACGCTCTCTTCCTGGGCCCGCTGGACTTGGGCCGTTGGCTCCCATCTGCCCCCTCCACTCTGAAGTCCTCCTTCGTAGCAGACGACGCTCGTCTTGATGACTTGGACTGGCGCGGTGGCAGAGCGAGGTCCTTCGACTCAGAGACGCGGAATGTGTCGCTGGCTGGAGTTGAGGCGGGGAACTCGTAAGGATCAGCCTCCCTCTCGGGCGACAACGTCGATTGACGGCTGGTCGTCTTCTCTAGGGGAGTAGAGCTGTTAGGGTTGTGTTGAAAAGATCTCTGTCCTTCGCTCTCGCTGATCGAGCCCGACATCATGGCAGACGATCGTTTCTTACGAATTGGTTTCGCTACGGCGAGCAGCGGTTCCGGCGATGTCGGTTTGTCGATAGGTTCATGAGGGCCCTTTTGACTTTGCCGACTGATTGCAGACGGTGAAGCAGCAGCCGCAATCTGCTGCCAAGTAGCATCGTCGCAAGATTCGCGTTTAATTGTTGGTGCCGCGTCCGTCGCAGATGGGTCTGAGCTGGCGCTGCCACTACGCTGAAGGTACCTTGTCTGACCAGTAACGGCGTCATAAAGTTCCTTCGTAGGGCGTCGCATCTTGTCACGCAGATTCGGCTCTGCGTAGCTGACCGAGGCTCGCGCCCGCCTGCTTGGCCGCGAAGTTTCGCCTTGAGAAGAGATGTCGTTTGGCGGGGGCGTATCCCGAACACTCGGCAGGCTCATTCTAGACGCTGGCTCAGGGGATGCTGGAGATAGGAGAGCGGCTTCGATAGGGACGGCTTCTGTGCTGGGCAGGACATCAACAGCGGGTGCCGGTGATGGCACAGTGGCAAGGACCACTTCGACTGGTTCAGGCTCGGATATAGATTCGGCTTCGGCCTCTCTGATCTTCTGCGCAGCCCGCTGGCTTGCCGCGCGCGGCTTCGGCTTCTCAGGGGCGGCCTTTATGTCATTTGCTGCGTCCTTGGAACTCTTCACAGGAGAAGCCATGTCGTCATTCGTGCTCTTGGCCGACAAAGGCTTTCTCGAGTTGACTGGTGCCGACATCCGCTCTCTAGCTTCACGGCGTCTGTTGGCGAGCTCTTTCAGGGTTTGCCCGCTAGGTTGCTCGCGTGCCTCAAGCGGACGTTGTTCAGGCTCTTTCGACTTGGAGGGTTCGATGGGTGGTTTGGTGATCTTGGCTAGGTCATCTCCCATGCTGTGCTTTCTCTTCGACCCAGCCTTGGCAACGATCGGATGCACGGGGGGCAAAATGGGAGTCTCCTTGGGTGGTCGCTTGGCATCGGGTCTGACTTCTTCTGTCTTGGTTGCAGGATCGGGCCGTACAATGACATTTCTCTCAGGCTTCTGTGTCGTTCGGGACACGGGTGCCAGAGCTATTACTGGCGCTGGTGATGGCAATTGCACCGGCGAGCCACTGGTGGCTGCCTGCGGTTCTGCGGCACTCAGGGGTTGACGAGGGGATCCGATGTCAACGGAGTCTGCATCGACGAATCGGGACATTGGTGGCGGACCAAGTTCGGGAGAGTCGGTGGTATCGACGTTGTCTGTCGTATCGGTCGTGTCGGCGGCCTCTGAGCATAGAGCGAGGATCTGCTCACGGCTTGGTCATGTTAGCAACGCAAGCTTGACAACAACCATCACATCCGACTTACTCAAGCGTTGCCCTCGGATAGGACTTGTTCTCTGTAATAGGTGGTAGACGGCCCTCCTGTAGCGCTCGAGCCTCTGTGTCCTTCACTGGCTCACGGGGCGGTCGTCTCTGGGGAGGGCTACCACGCGGCAGACTTGCTCTGGAAATCCGTCTGCCTCGGGGGCTCGCGTGCCTTTTCGTGGGAGGCTCTTGACCGAGATTGGAAAGAAGAGACATGCAGTCCATTAACTGAGATTCGAGTCTGGACCTGATGTCCAGGGCGTGGTCTGCTATCCTCCGAGCATTGCTGTCCTCGAGCTCCTTCTCCAGCTCAATAATTCGGCCATTTAACTGAAGGTTTTCTGATAGGGAACGAGAATAATCTGCTTCGAGGTTGTGGATGCGATTTAAGTGAACAGCATTTGCTCTGGCAAGGTCTCTGTTTTGGCGCAATAGCTTCCTACGTACTGCAATAACACAAGTTAGTCAAGGAGATGAGGTGAAGACGAGTAAGTAAACATACGCGTGTCGATGCTATCTGTAGATACGGGGGGTTCGTTTAGTCGGGCCATGGTGCATTCTGGAAAAGTGAACAAAAACCCAACGCGTGATGAGACCAAAGGTGAGGAATGAGGGAGTCAGCTCAGCGAAGCATGACAAGAAGGTGGCTGGGACAGTGACGATGGGGTCGGGGGGAAGGGAGAAAATTTACCGAAGTGTCATTTATTTACACCCGGCCTAATTGGGTCTAGTATCAACAATGGTGCAGGGAAGAGGGGGTTGCTGGGGGCGCAATTGGACGGGCCCAGCTCTCCACCGCCTGCCGCATCCTTTTTCATGTGCTCACTCTCACCGAACCTTTGTCGATTACTCTGACCTACAGAACGCTTTCAGCCCTCTTGATTCATTACCCCGCCACGACGTTCAGCTTCTCCCAACTCGAACCCGAAACACGACGATTCCTTTACGAACGCAAAGTGATAGACTCACCTACCATCTAGAAAGATGTCCTTTCCAACCCGATCACTCTCGACTCGGCTGCCGGGCGCTGGGTCGCAAAACGCTTCCGCAGGCCCGTCGCCCATGCTGGTTGCGCGCATTGCAGAGAAGAAGGCAGAGCTGGAGCACCTGAAGGACTTGCGCGATCTCAGCGCTGCCGTTGCAGGTCAGATGGAAGCACTTGAGCAGAAGCTGTCGACACTTTCTGATGGCACAGAAGGTCAGCATGACCCATTGAGGGAACCATAATGAGTAGCAAAGCTGACGGATAAAAAGCGATTGCCATGGTAATCAGCAACTGGCATAACGTGCTACGCGCTATCAACATGGCATCCGGTAGGTTCAAGCTGCATGCAATGCACATGACAGTAACTGATACCGAAATGTAGCCCAACTTGCCAAGCCGCCTCCGCAAGAAGAAGCGTTGGAATCGGAGGAATCCAGCATGTCTCTGCCGCAGACACTGGTTCGCATTCCGACAGAACACGCTCCGACGCTCCAGGCGCAGGCCGAAAACGCAGCAGAGAACGCAGAGAGCAGTATGGCTACGCCATGATAAGTTTCACGAGAGATGGATCTATGGCCCGAAAAGCAAAACCTCCCTTGGGAAGCGACGAATTTCGAACCGGAGGTACGTTTGGTCCCTGACTAGGTCAGCCTGTGTGGTGCTGCTGGTGCAGCATACACGACCAGATCTCTCGAGATGCCTATGGCAGATGCACATAGAAGAGAAGCCATCATTGGCTAATGAGCCAGAACAATGCGGAAGAATGGCTTGGGAAGCTCACGTTGGAACCGTTGCCGGAAGCTACCAGTCTGTGGCATGCCCAAGTGTTGGCGGAAAGCTACACATTCTAGCGTCCTGTTCCGGCAGTTTGATGCCGACGCTGGATTGGGCAGGGAGGCTCCACCCCAAGTCAACAAACACTAACCTAACAAGTGAGGTGCGGGGTTCCAGACTCCCAAATGGACGGGAAGGACGCGACTTGAGTCTGAACGCGTCTCTTAGTCATCTCTATCTGGGCTCACCCGTTGGCCGTTGCCATTGCCACGGAGCCGATGCAACGAAACGGGAGGTACCTCGCCCTCACCCTCGTGGCTACCCGAACGCCCTTGGCAAGCTGGCCCTGAGAAATAGGTCGGGACTCGGGAGTGAGGGGATCTATCGAGCCTGCCGCGCCCATGCTCATTTGCTGTTGGTTGGTGGCTTTATTGGCAGGACACTGACAAGTAGGGGAAAGATCAAATTGAAGCCAATTTCCCGCCATCTTGGTGGCTGTCAGGCTAGAAATCCTCCTCTTCCATGTCACTGTTTGTCTTGCTTCCATTCCGCTTCCATCTCAAAGCACCAAGCACTTTAGCCCATCATACTCGAAGAGCTCTTCTTTTTGGACACATTCAGCCCTCTCCTCCACACTTTGGCTTGAACCAGAATCATACGGCCAATACAAAGAGTACTGTGTACGAAGTAAGGATACCTAGTGTTCCAGCCAATAACCCCGCCATATTACACGTACCCCAGCTGGTCACAAGCGAAATTGCTCGCCAATCCCAGACAACCCACGTATTGCAGCCCATTGTCTTTCAATTTGTCTGGGGTCGGCGGTTCCTTGTCTGGGTTCAGGTCGGAATCGGAGATTGTCGAGCGTAATGGGTCGCCTCTCTCGATCCAACACCGTGGGACACGGCTTCGGTATCCTCGAGGACCCCTCTGGTCCCGGCCATCGTGCTTCATCCGACGCAAACGGCGCTCACATCTCCAACGACGTTGCTGCACTTGAAGATTGTGACACTCATAGTCACCAAAAAACGCCAGAATTCATCGACGCTTTAACCGACAAACTCAAGGAACTACATATTTACAGTCCTAAAAAGAACCGTGCCGACAGATCACTGCTACAACCTGCACGACGACGCCGCTTGACTCGATCCTCTATTGACACCAAGATCTTCCCAACCCTTCAACACATTAGGGAGGAAGTTGCAATCTGTGACGGAAACTCGACTGTGACTAGCCCTACGCAAGGACCAGTCCTTGCCAACTTGCCTCAAGACACCAAACAAGACGAGGGTATCCCACCATCAACTGAAACACGTGCTGCCGTACCTACTCCCCCTCGCCAGACGTCGGACTCATTCGAAGCCAACGGGTCCAAGTTCTTCTCTGAAGGTTCGCTCATCTGACTGCTGCCATGTGGTCTTTCAACTAACCATATTAGTCCTACACGCAATTGGCCTCGAACAGCAACATCTAGATCCTGATTTTGACATACAGAAGTCCATCGCACGGCACAGGGCAGGTCAGTATGACTGCGTACTTTCGATTCCGAACCCAGGCGGCCCGGCTAGGCGCAACAATGCGCCCAGCAAACGAGCAGACACCACGCTCGACTACGGCTGCAACGTCTTAGTCCACGCCGACCGCACTGAGGAAAGTTTTTGCAGCCAGCGCAAACCGGCTAACGCCTTCAAACTTCTAGCAACACCTCTGATATTTGACGAAGCATCTCGGAGTGCGTCATATTCATCTTCAAAAAGCGACGACAACATGGCTGTTGCAGAACCACTTGTTCGGCTTGCCTCTCCAGCGCCTGCTGGATACGAAAACACCATGACGAAGTCTGCCATCAATGTATCCGTCGTTGAACAGACTCACTCCAAGGAGTCGTCTTTAGACTACGTAGACCATCCAAAGGACAGAGTCGTTTCCTTCTCGTCTACGGACGAGAGCAGTGTCCCGACGGAAGATGTTCCCCGCACTCCATCGAGGTCGACCTCGACTAGCTCGCGATCTCGAATTGAGGACTCAGTAGAAGCCATCGATAAACTCGAGGAGGAATTGGAGGCTATCAACACGCGCTTGGCGACACCAAGCAAGTCGCGACGGATTCAATCTCTGACGGACGAATCTACTACGACAGCTTCCACAAACGAATCAGTCACCAAGCGATCTGCCTCAACATTGAAGCGCACTCAATCTGTCGGCGCTGCTGCCAACGCGTCGTCCCAGGTACGCGCAAACCAGAGAAAGTCGGTCAACTTTGACAACGACACCCAAAAAGGATCGCCTATGCAGGCACCTGCGAGAAGGCATGTGGCTCGTCCAACCAGCCTTCTGCCGCCCAAGCCGCCTGCTAAGTCCACAAGGGCTCCTACAAAGCCCTCGTTTGAGCTGCCAGGCGAGGCTACCGCTCGCGATATCAAGGCGAGGCGCGACGCTCGCCTGGCTCAACAGGCCCAGGAGAAGGCCGCTGCGGCAGTGCCCCAGCGAACCAGATCTCTCAAAGCGCCGACGAAGCCCAATTTTGAGCTACCCGGCGAGAAAATCTCAAGGCGCAAGAGGGAGGAACGAGAAGCCCGTCTCAAACAACAAGAAGAGGATGAGCGGAAGCGTCGCGAGTTCAAGGCGAGTCCTATCAAGGCGAGGCTTGGGATCGCTGCGCAACCTCGAGAAACCGTGGCTAGTCGAGCTCGCCAGAACAAGGGATCTGAGGCCAACGACATGGAAAGCCCGTCGAAGCGCTCGTCGATTATGGGCACTCCTCGTACACTTGCGAGATCAGGTTCGACAAGGTCACCGCAGATTCGCGGCAGAGGTATCTCACAAGCCGGTACAGAGACTCAGTGTCGCGCTACGTCTACATCTACCGGCAGTATGAGCGGCAAGCGAAGTGCGCTGTCTGTTGAGGAAATGGAGCAGCAAAAGGTCAAGGGTCGTGAGGTCTTCCACCGTGACAACTCTTATACCGAAGACAAGGAGCGGGAGCGCCGCGAACGTGAGTGGAATGCGAAGATGGCCCGTGAGCAAGCCGCGGAACGCTCTAGGCAAGCGAGCCGAGAGTGGCGTGAAAAGCAACAACGCAGCAAGCTCGCTATTCAGGCTGCCGCGGCAGGCCAGGCGGCATGATTTGCGGTACGTAGTTTTTGTTTAGACCCTTATTGGCAGGGTCCGGACTCGTTGTAGGATTATTTGACCAGCGCGTGGAGCCTGGCACCTGTATTGATTGAGACTGCGCGGAGTTTGGTGCAACGTTATCAACTGTTCAGCCGGCAATGCTGACGACCAGACGGATGCCGGGTAGAGGTTTTGAAGTTCGGTTTTAGAACTCACTTTTGGTTAAGCATCGATATGTCGATCGCCTTCATTGATTATAGTTTCTTAAGGCCCGTTGGTTGTCGGAAATGAATCTCGTTTACACCAAGAACACAACTCTCATGATGCAAGTCTAGATGTGTGAGCAGCTGCAGAACAACAATGCCATTTTCAGACCAGTTGAAGTATCTCAAATCCTGTGGGTCATTTAGCACACGCGGCGGAGATGAGATCAGCCAACGTGAAGATAGCTTATTGGTCGTGATCAATAGAATAAGGCAGCGTGTTGTAACATGCAACCCGGGGCCGGCCTGGAGAGGAGGCGGGACCGCACGGCCGGCTAGCGTGCCGGCGCTAGCGGAGCACACCAACGACGTCCGGTTGAATGGGTCCAGTGAACGAGTCGCTCGCCTTCCATTTACCTTCCTTACATCGACATCCAGGTGATCACAGAATCGATAAAAAGGGAAGCCAAAAGCAGGCCATAGACCATCTGAAATTCGGCACGATCAAATCCTGAGCTACCTTACTTCATTCACACAACCTCGGCACCACCGTCGGCAATCTCAATTCTTGGTACTTTACCGCGAAACCCCCACCGGAATATGAGTCCCGCAGCCTCAACCCCGTCCCGAGACCAGCGGCCCACGGTCCGTCTGGATCAAGGAGTCTTCATCGGCACCACGCTCTCTGAGCCAGAGTTCCCGAGCGGCGTGGAGGCGTTCCTTGGCGTGCCGTACGCGAAGTGCCGGCGTCTTCGTCGGCCGGAGGCGCCGGTCCAGTCGGGCAATTCGTTTGATGCGGCCGAGTATGGACCCGTGTGTCCTACCGCAGACCCGACGTACCCTGCGGATGAAGAGGGGTGTTTGAACGCCAATATCTTTTGTCCGGCCGGGGGAAGAGTAGAGGGGAAGAAGGTTCCTGTGTTGGTTTATAGTACGTTTGTTCCTGCCCGATGCGCGTACGTGCGATTATTGGTTACCTATGTTAGTACTAACGAGCGTGGGGATGTAGCGCATGGCGGTGCATTCAATTTTGGAAGGGGAGGGGACAGGAACCTCGCGGCGTTTGTCTCATTTTCGAAGCGCGATGTGGTTGCCGTGAGCTTCAACTACCGCCTCGGCCCGCTGGGGTTCCTCCCGTGTGGGGTTGCCGCCGGAGAAGGCATCGCGAATCTGGGGTTGATGGATCAGAGGGCCCTGCTCGAGTGGGTACAGCTCAACATTGGCAAGTTTGGTGGTGATGAAGGGGATGTCACGGTCATGGGCTTCAGCGCCGGGGCGCATTCGGTATGGTCCATTCTTCTTCATAACCGTCTTCCACTCCCCTCTGTTTCTGTTGGCCTACCTACAATGTGGCCGTGTAAGAAGTGAACGGAGTGCTAACACAATAGTAAAGCTCGGCCACCACCTCCTCTCCCCGCCCTCCCGGCGCCTCTTCCACCGCGCCGTCCTCGAATCCGGCGCCCCAACAGCCCGCTCCGTCCTCGCGGCCATGCACCCCCGGCACGAAGCCCAATTCACCCGCTTCCTAACCCACGCAGGCCTCTCTAAGTTCTCTGCAACACCAGACGAGATTCTCCCCGCCATCCGCGCCCTACCCCTCGACAAAATCCTCCAGGCCTCGCTGATGACTTGGTCAGAATGCGCCCCCTCAGTCCAATGGCCCTTCCAACCATCCATCGAGCCCATCAATAGCAGGAACACCAACGATACCAACATAATCCCTCTCGCTCCAATCAAAACCTGGACCTCGCCCGCGCTCCCGACGCTCCCACCCCTCCTAACAGGCTTCAACACCTCCGAAGGCACAATGTTCGTGCCAGCAACAGCCTCCTCCCCGACAGCCCTCTCAGACTTCTTCTCCGCCCTCATCCCCTCCCTCTCCGCAGCAGACCTCGACACCTTAGAATCCCTCTACCCCCCACCATCAACGTACCCGGCCCCTCCGACCGCCTCCCACGGCGCGCAGTTCCGGCGGCTGGCGCAGGCGTACGGGCATTACGGGTACATTGCCCCACTCCTACACTCGGCGCACTTTGCATCCAAGGCCAGTGCCGATGCTGCCGGTGATCATCCTGCTCCGGTCTGGGTATACGAATACGCCGCGCACGCCGACCTCGGCGCCGCAAACCACGGCGACCACGTCCCCGCCGCAACGCACGACACGGACATCCTCACCCCGCACAAGACGCCCGGCCTGCTCGCCGTGTCGGACGCGATGCACGCCCACTGGTCCACCTTTGCCACGACCTCGGACCCCAACGACCCCGAGAACACAAACCCCAGCGGTCTAGTCTCCTGGCCCCGCTTCATCTCCCCCTTTGGCGACACCGCCGCGGACGACTACATCCCCAGACCGGCAGACGACCCCACGGAGACGAGGGGCAAGATCCTCGTCTTTGGCGAGGGCAACGACGAGCTCATGGGCCGTACGGGACAGGGGCGCAGGGGCACCGTGGCGCGCGTGCGGACCCTGACCGAGGCCGAGGTGAGACAGTTCCGGTTCTGGTGGGATCGGGTTGGGTTGAGCGAGGGGATGGGGGTTGCTGAAGATGAGGGGACCAAGTTGTAATAGGTCTGATATGGATTCAAGTGTAAGTGGGGAGATGATGCTATTAAGGACAAACTCCTCTCATGAAAGCAGTTCAGAATGAGAATGCACGATAGAGCGATGATAATGAATGCAAGGGTAGATTGACAAAGGAATATTCATTCATACGTGTCTATGAGACTGTGTTTCGAGATCTTGGCGATCTCGGCTATCCTACTCTTTTACTACCTACTACTATACTAAAAATCCTCCAAGTTTTCTTGTGCGGCAGCTCCCTGCCGTCAAGGTAGTCTTGTCTGCTTTGTCCAAGACAGCAGCAAATCATGTTGCGTGTGCGCGCCGTTTGTTGGCTTGCTATATACAACATATTGAACTGGAGCAACGCGCTGTGGATAGCAATGATCGGAACGAATCCCCGAGATGTTTATATATGACGAATAAATCATGTGCGTCGAAGTGGATTATGATCTCCGTGGCATTTGGCGAGCCATTACCGGCGAAACACGCCAAGCAAGGCAGCGGAGTAAATGATATTAAAGGTAAAAGAAGCTTCGCGGGGCGAATAAAATGCCGCCGTCGCATGATTCCGTAAATCCGTAACGCCGTGTGTGTTTCTCGATTTCGAGACCGTTGGCCTGATGGGGATGGTGGGTATCTTCGGAACAGAACCCCAGCAGACTAATAAACAACAAACAAAACTTTTTTGTAGTAACACACCAGACCTTTTCTAAAAGTTCTGGGAAATACCAGCGTTCTGTTGTTGGGGATAGTGCGAAGGGTTCTCGATCCTAGTATTGCGACGAGCTGGGTTGTCGCGGATGACCGGTTGGCCGGGAAGCTCAGTGGCCGGGTTGGCGTACGGACTGTCAGAGTACGGGTTGTTGGCGTACTGATCGTAGTAACCATTGCCGTTGCCATTGCTGTTGCCGTTGCTACCACCGCCGCTGTATGCCATGCCGATTCCGTCAGAGGTGTCCGAGTGGTTTCCTGCACTGTAGGAAGATGAGGCATTGGAGGGTCCGCGTTGAACGCCGCCTCCACGGTTCATGGCTGCCGAAGGGCCCATGGCGCCGAGGATCTCACCATCAGGTGAGTACGAGCCGTCGTTGATCAAAGGCTCTCCTGAACGGTTGTCAGTTCCTCCATGGCTGGGTGAAGTTGTGTCCGAGTATGCCGCACCTGTGTTGCCTCCGGACATGGTCGTGGACGCCTTACGTCCGGTGGAGCCGGCAAGAGTGGTAGAACCCCAACCACGGTATCCGGACGAGGCCGCATCTTCCTTCATTTCGTACGAGCCGCCATCGCCAAGGGACGGGATGGTGGGATCCGCATTCGGGTTGTAAGCATAGTCCTCGACCTCCTTGCGTCGTTCCTCCTCGGCGTCCTTGCGCTGCTTTCTCTTTCTCCAGAAGTACAGGCCAGCCAGAATGAGCAAGGCAACAGCAGCAATGGGAACGACAACGGCGACAGCAATAGTGCCTCCGTTACCGAGACCGCCCTTGGAATTACCACCGGAGTTGATGGCGCCGCCCGAGGCCGTGGCAGAAGCAGATGAGCTGGCAGCAGTTCCGCTCTGAGTGACGCCCTTGGTCTGAGTGATGACGGTGAAGATGGTGCTTGTCTGACCTCCTGCTTCGGTTGGCGTGATGATGACGGTAGTCCCTATAAGAGTTGTTTGCAGTTGCTGCTGGCTAGTAGTTTCGGCTGCTTGAGTAGTCGGAGCCTGGGTGCTCTGCTGCTGAGTAGTTGGTGCTGCTGCCGCAGAAGTTGTCGCTGCCGGAGCTTGAGACGTGGTCGGCGCTGCTGCTGCAGAGGTTTGCGGAGTCGTGGGTTGTTGTGCGGTGGTAGGCGCCGCTGCCGCAGAGGTCTCTGCCGGAGGAGTGGTGGTGACGGCGGCAGCGCTCGTTTCTGCGGGTGCGGAACTGCCCGGTGTCGCGGCCGGGGCCGTTGTGGCCTCGCCGCCCGGAGTCGTGCCATTTGACGACATTGTGTTATCCTGTCTCAGCAAGATCTGTGGCGGGGGACTAAGTGGTAGAGACATATTAGCGACTGGCGAGGGAGCAGCTTTGATGGCATCGCCAGACTCCGAAGAAGGGATGACGGGTATTCAACAAAACAAGACGACAGGAAGAGTTGAGATGGGACGAGTAGTTGGGCAATTGGCAACCAAGGCAGAAGACCCAATCATTTTGTGCGTAACTTAACACAACAGATGCAGCAGGTTTCTTGGGAGGCAAATTGATGATCGGCAGAGATGCCGTAGTGCACTCGGCAAAATCTGGGAAGCACAGCGTCGAACAACGTACCTCCAATAAGAGCGATTGGCTCACAGGTAGCTTTCAGGGCGGAAAAAGGGAGGTGTTTCAACACAAGCGATTCTGCAAAGAGCAATTCGTCGATTTAGAAGCGCGGTCGATTCTCAATACGGCCGCGGGAGAGGCCAAGCTGGCGATACACGTGGAACTGACGGCGGTACGAGGCCTCAGTTCAGGGCGACACACTGGTGACGGGTGCGTCGGGGGTGGTCGAGTTGAGGATGGATTCTTTGGAAAATGTGGGAAGTGATTGTCGCGTCTGGGCGTAACGGCGATGGAGCGACGGGTGCTCAGACAAGACGAACGGTTGATAATTGGCGCGGGTGGCTGAGTCAGGTTCAGGTGGTGCCTGTGGTGCCTGTGAGGGAAGCTCCCAAGACGGACCGTCTCCTGGCTACTGCGCGGGTCGGCGTTGGGTTCGGCGGTTGGCAGGGCCCTACTTCGCTTCGTACAGACGAGACGGTACCTGGGAACGGGCAGTCTCCGTATGCGACTATGCGTAGTGCCGCGCGAGTATTGTCGATCCGCAGTGACGAAGTGGGATCGATTGGCGACGGCGTCAGAGGAAAGTGGGAAAAAGCAAAAGGACAGGGCAGAGAGAATTGGCAAGAGTTAGAACGAGAGGAGGAAGGTGGAAAGTAGGAAGAAATGGGGAAGAGGGGAAAAGAGGAGGGAAGAAGGAAGAGAGCAAGGTCGTGATTTCCTTGGAAGGATGCCGGACTGATGCTGATGCCGCTGCCAATTGAAAGTGAAAGAGGAAGGGCCGGGGAGGGGGTGACGAGCAAGGACGGACGGGGACGGGGGTGGAAGGATATTGACGGGAAGGCAGCGAAAGGGAGGGAGAAGGAAGGGGGGGAAGGCTAGCTCCGAAGGAGCGGCAGAGGAAGGCGCGGAAATATGTATGTTTTGAGCAAGAGCAATCCAGTGCGGTACTCGTGCGGCGTGCCTGCCCAAGTGAGGTGGACCGACCTCCTTCCTCCTTCCTCACAGCCCTCCAGGCTCCCGCCCTGCCTTCCATTTTGCGATACCTTAGGTACCTTAAGGTAGGTACTTTGTACTTGCCATTCAACCTTTGCCTGCATTGGGAACAATTGGAAGTCACGGCCGTCAAACCTGCTGGCGTGTGTCTGTCTCGTGTCCGAACATCTAGCTCCGAGCTGCACTGCAAGCCAGCCTCCAGTGCAGGTGGAAAGCCAGGACTGTAGCAATTGAAGACTGAAAAGGGAACACGATGGTAGACTGACCTGACTTGACCATCCACCGTTAAGGTGCGGGTGGGTGGCTCAGCGGGAGTTAGGGCCGTTGCTTCAGTGGCAGGGCGCTGAGCTATGCTGTGACCAGCCCCAGGTCGGCCAAGCCAGATACTTACGCTCTTCTACGAAAGCATCACTGGTCATAAGTACCTCGACGATTTTGCTAATGCATCTCTCAGTGGAGCGGACCTGGAGGGAACCTGACTAGGACAAAGTACCTTGTAGAAAGGGCCGATCTGCAGTTCGCGCGAAGCATGCATGGCACGTTGCAACGAATTGCCTTGACCATATGGATATCCGGACAGAGAAAATAACTTGAGGGCCGTTGAGCCCAGCGAGTCTCGAGTCTCTTGACAAACCGGCAGCTTTTGTCGCGTGCTCGAGGGGGAAAAGGCGGCTTCTGCCGTCCATCATCTCCCGTGTCTCAGTCATTTCGCAACTGCTGCGGCACATGCCCGTTGAGATTGCGAATTGCTGAGCCGCTGCCTTCTCTGGCTCGCAGGGACCACAAAGTCCCCGAGCCTCGGGGGACCCTGGCACGAATGAAAAGCCTAAAGCCCTTAGAGCTGTCTACAGTCCACGGATACTAAGAACTAGTACTCCGTACGTACGGAGTACCAAGGACGAATAGAGAGCACTCCGGATGGCGGCAGCGGATGCTTCCAGTCCGGGAATGTTGGCTGCTTTCTTTCATATCGTCGAATGCCTGCCGAGTCTTGATCTGGTCCAAACGGGTCAAAGAGGGAAAGACGAGAGGCTTCAACCCACTCGGCCGGCCTCAGCCCTCAGGTATGCCGCAATGCAGCCGCATATGGTCCCTGATGTGCGTTCCCGATGTGGCGGCCTCGACACTTCTCAACCAGAGACTTGAATGCAAAATACGACACCTCAAACGCGACACGCCAGGCAGATACGCAAGCAATTCTAAGCAAGGCATGTCGGTCAAGTTTCATCTCATCTGCTCTCCCTTCTCTATTACTGCAGACTCTAGCCATCGCCCAAACCTAAACACTTCAGACGACGGACAGCCCGCAATCAAAAGTCATTCAGTCAATCTCTACGAGTGACGAAGGTTTCCTGCTGTGTAGATAATGTGCGCCGGACGAACGTCCCGGCAGGTCATCCTTTAACCAGTCCCTGCACCGGTCGTACCTTGCTGCCATGCGGCAATGCCCTGGGGCTCGCTCTGGACTCTTGACTTTGGACTGGAGTCCTCTCCCTCGGGCCCGTGGAGAAAATTTACCTCATCAACGGGATTCGCGAATTCGCTTCGCTTTGCTGGGGACACCGGAGGGTCCGTTCGCTCCCTCTCGTATCCAGAGTGACGGTTGATGGCTCCAGAACTGGCTAATTTCCCTCGTCCAACGAGCATGCACCTTCCTGGTAAACCACGCTGTCTGCCAGGTCCGCCGTCTGCAACCCTCGAGATGGCATCATTTGCTCCCGAAGAAGAAGGGAAGAAACGCATCAGAGCCTTCCTGCGCTCGATATGTGCGGATACAGTCCCCAAGAGTCAAAGTCAGCAAGTGCCCGTCGGCCCTCGTCTACGAATACGTACCTGGGTCCAAGTCCACGTTGGCATGTCTCAAACACTGGAAGCCAACGTTTGGTCAGGAATGTCACCGACATTCATACACCAAGAAGCAGTCATCACAGTTCTCGACGTTCAAATTTGAATGCATACCTCCGAGGCTCTGTTATCTCTTGGCTCTCGCCATTCATCCCACTGTTGTCAACTACACCGACTCTTCTGATGGCTTGTTTGTTTTGAAGCTCATGTCCACATTGCTCTCCCTTACGTCTTCTCTACAGCGACCAATTTCAGCCTTTAGCAACTTGAGGATTTGCCTCCCTCTGCAGGCTGCCCGGCGCCTGTGGAGCCGCTCGTATCCCCAAAAATAAAAGCTGCTGATCCACAGCTGTTGCCTTTCTCTCGGCGAGCACCGCATTCGATCTATTGTGCGATCCCATCGATCTACAAAGGTAGCCGTATGGCGTTAATTGCGCGCTTCTGTTGGTCAGATCGGCGGGATTTTGGCCCTCTCGAACAACCACCACACTGCAAGAATGCATCCCAGCCAGCTGTTCAAGCGCGACAGGACGAACTTCGAACGAAAGCCAGCGGGGTTGAAAGAAACCTGGTCGGCACTGTCCTGTGGCGACTAACAATCATCGCGGCCGGATGAAAGCTCGAGCCTTGCGGCTAGAGGTGGACAACGATCTTTGGTCGACACAAGTCCAAATGCTGACTTGGCAATGGGCGGCTGGCATGACATTGCTAATGCCTCTAGGGCTGCTTTCTTCCATAAACGCTTGCCTGACTAACAACCGGTCGTTTCTCCGTCGCCATGCCATTGGCACGAGCTTGTTCGACCAAAGGTTACATCCCTCCTGAACTCCATGTAGCACTCGTGGTCAGAGTCTTCAGTCATCCATACCGCTCCGGAAGCTTGTCTCATAAGCCTCGAAGCTGCATAATCCAGCATCCGGATCAAACAACTCCACCGCCGCCTGTCTGCAAGTCACAACTCAGAACTTATTGCCTTCAAATCGATGCTGCCATAATACTTAGACGAATATCAAGGCAGTTTGAGTCTGACTGCATCAGTCGTGATAGCCAATATGGCAGGCTTTGTCATCGCAATGGCCGGCAACTATGACTTCGACGGCACATATACCTCCACATGACGTTCATTTTCTCCAACCCTGGCCCGGCACCCGCAAACAACAGCCGGGTTACAATGTCAAGGTTGGCCCCAGGATGTCGAGATCTGATGAGGTAGTGGCATAATAACAGCAGGAACAATATGCCCTCGGTTCGGGCAGGGCTCTTCAAAGCAAAAGATCTACAACAACCAACGTCATGTTCCCCTCACGTCCCTCCACACTCACGGAGCATTGACCAAACTTCGATGACCTCTTAGCCTCTTTCCTTGGAAAGCATTTTGCAAAAAGGGTCTCGGGGTCACTTCGTCCCAACGTCTGGATTCCAGCTTTTGTCCCCAATTCGACGACGAGACACCTCCCTGCTCAGACTCAATCGTTCCTACACAACTTTCTTCGGACCAAATCCGATGATGGCGATGCCGGTACCCGTCAGTCGGATCGCCTCAATGCGATCGACTCTGCGCGTCTGCTCTCCGCGGTGTCACGTCAGCATATGCGCCGTCGAGCTGCCGGGATTCTCTCACCGACAGTCAGAACCTTCGACATGATCTATCTCACGCCACTTGGCCGGAAATGTACATTCGGCACGAGGTAAGGTAGCGCAACACCTGCATAGAGTCAAAAGTATATGCACTCGACGCTGTTTGCCAGGCCCTTACCGACAACTTTTGGCTCGTCGAATCAGCAATCAGGAATTCAAGACATCAACTTGACCTCTACAGGAGATCGTTCTTTGTCTCCCGTTTCTATTTTCCCATCTGTCCGATTGACACTTGATTAGCTTAACGGCGCTCAATTGGCTTTCACCACGGAGCCACGCTACCCGAGCTCTGATCTCGTCTCCAAAACCGCCACACGTATGGCTGTGCCCTCCCAAATGCCATACCTACTTCAGGAAGCACACAGCCTTCCAGCCATTGGCTCGCGGGAGCCCTCCCCTCGAGCAAACGCCACTGACTGTAAGCTTGGGTCAAGCGTGAGCCTTCCCGCTCCACACAAGCCATCCAAGTGTCCGATGTAAAAATAACTTTACCATTAAGCTCTTTTCGGATGCTCTCGAGGCATCTGATTCCCATCCCGTCTTCTCGAAGCACGCCAAGTGTCGTGTCCGTATGCGCGCCAAAGGGTTGGCTTTTTCCATACGGTACATTAGGTAGTCGCGAGGACGCGGGAAACGGGTTGCCCATAGTCATTGATCGCTGACTAGCCCCCAAAACAGCCATACACAGCGGTAAGGCAAGTTGCTTACTGACGGGGCATTCATCGTTCTTTCGAAAGACATGCGTTCCGTGTATCCTTATCGAAATGCTTTGGAAACGATGCAGTCAGACTCAGACTAGACTGCCTTAGTAGTCGGTTCCCGTTTCCCGCCCGACCAAGCCCCGGCGGATGTCTGATCTTTCTTTTCGACAAACTTACCGTTTGCACTTTGGGGGGGAGAGACTGTGGCGGCGGCTGTGTTCTGTTCTGCACGTGTCCTAGTATACGCCCGTTCACGATGAAAATGGGGGTCACTATCCCTCCGGAGGCCGCAAGATCTACCGATGGAGTTCGGAGGGCTTATCCGTCACCCAGCCTTGTCTGCCCTGCGAGGCCTCGGACTCTGATATGCCAGTGCCGGAGCCGGTGCCTTTGAATCCTCTTGTGATATGAACACGAAAGTCACTGGGCTCCGCATACCGCGGATTGGGCCTTGAGCTGGATGCCGAGGTACTGCAGTCCAGGTCCTCAAAAGTTACACATCCCGTCGTGGCTGTTGCATTCAAAGTCAGCAGAAGATGGGAAGTCAAAGGTAAAGATAATCATTGCTTGCAACCAGAAGGACGGGACTTGGCGCTCAGCACGTTTTCCATAGCGTTCATCACTGGTTCACGCCCATGGCTGGTGGACAAGAAACAAACGTAGTTAACATGTACATCACTGCGAAGACGTGGGTGAGAGCCAGCACTCGCAAGGCAAAAGGCATTCATCACTTGCAGTAAAAGGGACCCAATTCTCAGTATACTTTCTGTAGTATTCATCATCTAGTTGTTGATGGTTGGCAGACGGTACCAATGTCCCGGAGCCCTTTTTCTATATGCAAACCCTCCCCCGAATATCCAAATGAGGCCGCGGGAGGGCTGATTCAAAAAATAAAAACTATTTGTCGTGACCCAAATACTCCACGCAGCGAAACAGAAAAAGGTTTTCAACACAGAAGACATTAGCAGTATATCGCTACTAAATGCGAGAAGAAAAAACACCGTTATGCAAAATTCAAGTCCCATAAAAGTAAGGGTAGAAA